AATATTTAGACGATCGATCTAGTTGCACTCTAAGTATCTAAATGCGCTATAATCAAGACTATTTATGATCAAGCTTTGTACCTGTTCGAAGCTGCACCAAGCCCGTGTATATTTTCGTATTAACACAGATGTAATATGAAGTACAGACTTATTCGCATGTAATTGATTGTTTGAAATGGTAACAAAATATGAGTCGTCCACCTATTTCACTTTATAATATTTCACTTACATACCACAAAAACAGATTTCATTAAGTGCGCGCGCCCAGTATGAGAGGAGTATCACTGATGCCTGAGGCAGTCTGATCCTTTAAGGAGTTAATAATAACGGCGTTCTGTATGGCTACAGAACATCAGAGCTCTAATACAAAAAAAAAAACTTTTACTGTTGATTGAACATGACTTAATGCGAAATTAGTGTTGTTCACTTGAATCAGGTTCCACTTATTCCTCACCATTCATTCATTCTGTACATAACTAGATAATGTAAGGCTTCTAAAATGCGTATATCTTATTATATATTGATCATGCACACGTTTATTTATTCTGTATATATGACTTACCGGTGGATTCTCCGAGGGAACTTCAGGCAGCCACTGACAGACCGGGGACGTGAAGTGCTGGTCATAGAATTTGCCCCGCCTCGCATCATGGCTTGCCTTTATACTATCTCGAGCTGAAACCTTGGTGGTTTGTGAGCTCTTCGGTCTAGGCGATGCCAAAAGTATTGTTATATCTTCCGCTCTGTACTGAAGAATGGCAAAGCAAAACATGTACACCTTCTGCTAACTGCCAGCTAAATAAAGGTTCAGAATATATCTTCAAACTATAGCAACGACAGAAACCAGTGAGCGATGCGAAGAGATTTATTAATACGGGCGCTTCGTTCTCTGAAATAAAAATTCGGACGAATATTTCAAGAAGCTTCCCGAAGAATTAATAGACAAACAGTCCAACAAATACCAGAGAGTCTCTTACTGTTGTTTGCAATCTTTGAAGCAATTTTGCACCGATTTTCCGTGAATCCCAAACTAAAATGCGTTCAAGTGTTCGTAATTTATTCAAAGTTGTAATTTATTAGTATTAATAATAACCTATTCAGCAATAACTTAACAGTAATAACTTATTCAGATTAGTAATATCATTACTCTATAAATATTATGGGTGTTTTAAGTATCAGTAATGTGAGCAGAGGTGCACTTGATTTCGATTAGGGGTCAGCTTTTGTTTTTATTATTTAAAGCCATCGCGACTTTACTACTCATAGCGTTAACCTTACAAATCTGCTAAGAGCGGCTAGAGGAAAACGCTGCGTATATCTTTAAGTAAAATCAGTGTGGAACGCCGCCTACTGCGTTCAAGGTCGTCACTCGTTACGCTCAGCAATTTTCGCATGACTTTGTTGCAACAACCAAAAGTTAATATAAGCTGATTCTCTAACATGTCAGACACGAGCGTCTCTCGGAAACTGTCATGAATTCGAATGTTTCTTGCCGATAATGCCTTGCGATACGCAGCGATTTGGTACATTACATCGTGCCAATAGAGAGGTTCAACTACACCATGCACGCTCTCAATATGCATCTATGTATCTGGTGGCTAGTACGAAGCCAACTAGTGGACATTACTGGAAATTCAAGAGCAATCATTAAATTATCGTAGCTCACCGGTGCCACTCCGACGAGTATGCCGACTCCAGAAGAAGACAACTGAGTTCAATAAACTAAAATAAATGTTTAAGCATCTAAGATAGATAGATAGATACGGTTTGAAGGAATATGTTATTTTTTATCAGTTTCAAACCAAGGATCAAGCATACGGAGGTCAGGGTGGATTTACTATGTGACAGTCCAGAGTATTTGGCAAGTATTCTAGAAGTGAACTCTGATGTACTTAACGTACCCTTTAAAAAACTGAATAACTCATCTAATAAGTATATTCGTTTAACATCTCTTTCTACACGTTGCGGCGTGTTACATTATTGTCCATGTAACTAATATGCGTTTTAAAACAATACACGTTAGGTTCTTTCTTCTTGCTTTGATAAACGTTCCTCCAAGTTCAAGATTTTTTCATTCGATTCCTTGTTCAGAGATATATTTTCTTTATTGATCACTTGCGAATTCTTGTTCAGCCGAAAATAGCAGCGTCGACGGATACCATTCGAGGCAATGTACATTGAGTTCTCTTAGTTAACAGCAAACTGAATGTTTATTCCTGATCGCCTACCGTACAGTTCACGTTAGCCGTTCCATGAAGTAGGAGACGATAGGTAACTTGCGTTACAAATTGATTTTTGCGGCATCCACATTTCTTCCTTTTGTCAAGTTTCGTGCCATCACGGTTACCTGTTTCTAAATTGGCTACCACATCCTGCTTTATGTTCAAACTCGAGTATAGACGGATTTCGTTTCGTGTTGGAAGCCAGCCGTCTGGTGATATGCCCAACGGCGATACCAGATGTAAAACTCGAAACAGAGACTATGACATCCTGGCTGGTGCCGTGGAGAGTAAAACTGAGACCTTCGATTTCGGCAAAAAAGAAATTTAAAAAACCCTTATAGAGACAACGCAGGTCGTACAACGGTACTTACAAGCTGCAGGTTCGTCACGTACGACAATTTCGATAGGTAATACCAGTTCGTATGTTTTAAAATGCCGCGTCATTGGTTTTTGAAAAATAACCGCGAGACTGCAGCAAAAATGGTGAAAATGTCTAATAAACACTAAATTTGCTCGTTTTGGGAAGTTTTCTCACCTTTCTCGTGTGTGGGTGTGTGTGTGTGAATGTGGGTGTGGGTGTGGGTATCTGTCTGTGTGTGTGTGTGTGTGTGCGTGTTGGAGTGTGTATGTGCGTGTGGGTGGGTGTGTGTGTGTGTGTGTGTAAGGGATGCATTACCTTTACCCTATTCGTTTCTCGACTTTTTTACTGACCGAAGTTATTCAAAATTTTCACATTTTATTCAGTTAGTGCTCAGACGCTCACTAGTTATGTTCTGTTTAGTAATGTTGACGTTATAATTCTAACTGAATGCTTGTCAAGTGACTTAACGGAAGAGCCAAATGTGTACTATGGTACTTGGTTAAAAAAATCCCGTTTAGGCGACGATGAATACTGGCTAAGCTGAAGAAATATTTCGACCTTTAGAAGCAAACATACTCCAAGCAAAGGAAGAAAAAAAAATCAATAAAGCACTGGGGATTTCAATGAAGTCTGTTACTGTGCAGTAGCGTTGTAGTTGAATGGATTGTCACTCCTTCTTTTTGTCCAGTATATGAAGCTGTAATTAGTTCATTTATTATCTAGGTACAGCTGTATCGCCGCTCATTGAACTATGGTTTTTAATAACGTTTTTTTAGTTAAATTTAGTCGAAATCAAATTCTAGTAACATGCATGTTACCGCTGCCTAGAAATAGGACACACTTTTCACCTTTAAAAAACGTCCCACCGCAAAATCCTATAAGTAATGTGCTCGTTTTTTGGATACTTCGGAACAGTCCTTGCCCCTTGATACGTACGTCGTCGATTTACGAGCCTTTCTGCCGTCGCATGTCAGCGCATCATTCAGGACATACTCGAGTGAGATCTGCTATAGTTTCTAGTGTTATCCGTTCCACCATGACAATTTCCTATTTCGAATGACATGGAAATTAACGGAGCAAAATATTACCGGAAGGGATGTTTAGTGATTCAAAAAAATGGCTAGCCAGCTTTGTACGTGAGTATCTATTTGCTTCGTAAATAATTTGGGTAGACATTTGTAATTGAGGAAAAAGCAATAGAACACTACCCGACTAGATCACAAATCATGTTTGTGTGTCACGAGCCGTATTATAGCCCTGTATCATTTGGACCATTTAAGGCTGTAAAACTAAGTAGTAGACGTTGAACATATATCAGCTCTATATTACTCTCTGAAACTTGAATTGTTTGATAAATGTCTGTTATAACAATAAAAATAATAATGAGATTTAATATTGTCATAGTTTCCTAAAGAGTTTTTATTCTTTAAGAGCTGTCCGTTGGTGTTGCATGCGTATGTTGTGAAAAGCTTACAACATGCACATGTAGGCAATATGTGCATAATACTCAGGCAAATGGGATGAATGTCCAGTGTGACTAAAAGACTGACGACGAAGTTGTAAATTATCTTTCCGGTATTTTACATCTTGGAACACTAAGTGATTGCCATAGCACAGATACGCAAGCAATCATTGCGAGAAACTGCCGTAAGAGTATTGAACTTATGCTGATGAAATGCGAAACAAAGTATCTTAAGAATGTGCGTTCTGTTTACATACTAACCTCTATAACCAAGAGATGTATGGGCAGGAACTCTTCTTGTAGCGCCTATCAAAAAATTGTCACGCGCTATTGCTTTTTAATGCGGAAAAAGGCGGTCACAGAATGTGAACATGTTGCATAAAACTAACCAACGAGCAAACGTACAAAACACGAATGCATCGCCTATTTAAAAGGTATCTACCCATATACGCTTAAATCACAACATTAGATAACTATTTCATGGATCTGAATGATTTTATTATCCCCTCCTCCCCCCTCACTGGGTCATGTGATACTTCTCAACTAATTTTAAAATCGCCCGCTCGTAACTTAGTTATCTCCAGAGTAATGTATTTATCCTCCACTGAGTCCATTCCTTCACACATTGCCCGTACCTAAAAAAAATTCTATCAGGCTAGTGATGAATGGAACGACGGACGTCTGATTCGGTAGTATCACAGAAGAAGCTTTTCAAAATATGTACAGACTGCTTTGCGGTGAGCTTCACGCTTTCGTCATGGTTCTCCTAAATGAGAACCTGTGTTCCCCGTTTCAAGAACCTTTATGAAACACGATTTTCATAACATTTGAAGATTAATGAAAAGATGATAATATGAGCACTTTGTTATTTTTTTTAGTCTACGGAACATTTGCTAACAGACTTCACACTTATAGGCACGGATACCGGAACATATAGGATAATATGGGCTAATGGAGAGATTTGCCCTGAAACGCTGCCGGCTGATCAAGCAAATAAGACTCCACATTTCAAGTGGGAAGAGAAGAAATTCCCACGACGTAAGGCGAAAGGTTTATAACAGGAATCGCAATAAAACGCTTAAAGATTTATTAAAATCGAGCAAAAATCTATTGTTAATGAGTCCAGAACGTTATCCAGAAATCAATTTCTTATTGTGAAAGTTTCTAGCCTATTTTTAATTGTTCTGTAAAGATAAGCCACAACGATTTATTTGTTCAATCTGTACTTTTTTTGGCATCTTTTGGATTTTTGAAACCTCTACAGAGGGTCTTACATTAGACTACATTTTCTGGGTGATACCAAAACACAACGCGAAACTATACGCGAAAACGATTTCCTTTGCGCAGAATAGGTACTGAAACAGCAAGAGTTCACGCTATGAATTTATTCATGCACCTAATTTACGTATACTATGTAATTATTATTTAACATAAAGATTTAATTTGAAAAAATATGTATGATAATAACATAGTGAAATTATTGTATTTGATTCTATAAGAGTTCCATGAACTCAATAATAATATACACTGGATCTATATATATACATATATATATTTGCTCTATGTATAAATAGATGGCGGCAAACTGGTATGAGCAACAAGCCATCCATAACTTGGGAAACGCTGAGCCAGATAGCACATATAGCAGTTCCTTCTACTGCTAAGCAACGTATTGTAGAACACTGTCCCTATATCCAACAGAGTGCAAAACAAAAATTAACTTCACGAAAGGTTAACTTTTAAGCGAATCACTTCAAAGGGACCACTTGTGATCTGAGATTAGAATCTCAGGATTCAAGATTTTGTAGTCAAGAGTGGCCATAAAAGATCGTTACTGGGCATAAAACGAGACAATCATTGAAGATTAATCACTGATTGACTAGGACGATGACCACAGTATCGAGGTAAACTAGTTAACCTCTAATGCATGCAAGAAGGTTTGCTTAAAAAGTTTGATAAGGCTGGATTTATGAGTACGTATTTTAATTGATCGGTCTTCTTAGAACTTGTGGTGCTCGCGGCGTCGATAATGTAGCAAAAATCCAGACCATCTGCGCACCCGCTAAGCCCTTTCTTCTCTAGATACTGTTATTCTCAGAATCTCCTTCCCACAACTTGGACTGCATGATGGATTACCTAGATATGCTGACCTCTTACACAGATAATTCAAAATTGTCGTCGTAGGAATCATCTATCTTAGGTGTTTAGTTATCCTTTGATCCGAACTCCATTAAAACTCTGCCAACGATACTTAAACAATTTACAGTCTTCGTCTGTTGCTCACAAAACATATCCACATCGAAAGACGTCGGTTCTTAAAGCGACATGCACGCCTAGTGAGATAATGCTAATAAATATATGCATATATTTTTATAATACGTTTAAGAGGTTAACAAATAAGTGGACTAGGAAGTTCTGTGCCTCTTTCAGCTTTGAGCCATACTAATAATTTTTCCCTGCAATATATCTCCACTGCTGTACGCTGAGTGCGCGTCAGTATAACTCCGGTTACGGTTGGAATGGGTCCACATTGAGTAAGGACTTCGTACCATACGCTTGGATACGCTCTTTCTCTGAGAATTTTTTCTCGAGTTTTTGCCCAACTAGCGCTCGATTTTTTTGTTGACATAAATTTACCTTCAGAAGGATTGGTTTCCGGCATTTGGTCTTTCCCATGTAAGGTTCTAAATTCATGTTGGGTCTTTGTCGCGACCGCAGAGTTGAAAGGTACCACCCAGCGGATGCTGACCAGGTCTTCATGTCTCCTACAGACTGGATTGCGGACGCGACTCAAGTAGAACGTTGCGTGCTTTCCATTAGCTATAACTGCCAGGTGCTTCCAAAATGACAACCAATCTCCTGGTGAACTCGGTGAAGTAGATGAACCAAATGTGGAGCTCTTCCCGAACGTTACGATACTCATTAAGTCCCTTATAACTGCAGGTTTATTACACTGAAACATTTTCCATTTTCTCTCGGCCAGTATCCTTAGGGATCTCCGAAACGACCTAAGATCGACCCAACTGTCCTGATATATCCTATAGAGCCAGGCAGGGTCCTCACAGCATAAGTGGGGCTCGACTTTGTCTTGTTTCAGGATGCGAGCTTTCTCTTCATCGGATAAATTTGCAAGGGCACAAGCCATATGACCAAAGCTATTTTTACGAATGGTGTTTTCCCACGCTACGTATGCAATGTTCAATAGACTGCACAGGGTTCGATAAGGCGTGTAGTTCTCTGATGGTACGGCATACGGAAACATTTCTAGTACGGCTGAACCACGTGGAAGAAAGATTGTCAAAGCTAACTCAGCTCCATGCATGGCTACAAGGAAGTCAGTAGCGCTAATAAGTTTACGAAGTTCTGAAAGTGAATATCTACTTAAGGAAACTATTCGAACCAAGCAGTTCAGTTCGGATCGGAGCTTTTCTTCGACCTGATCAATATTCAGGATCTTGCGATTAAACTCCCGAATAAGTAAGGTGCACACACGTATTCTTGGCAGAGCTGATCCAATCCCATGTAAACTATCTAAATTATTTCTACTTGTATCATCCGCATTAGGAACTCCGTTACGTTTTCTAAACCGCTCTAGGATGTTAACATCTGTTCCTTTCAAAGGACCTTGTGGAGTTTTAAAACCATACTGATACCACTGTGTAACCCTAGGTAACCCCACAAAGAGCTCATTAACACAGGTTATTTGGCCGTGCTCCGAATAAACCACATTTGCCCCCACAAGCGAATACAATTCGTCAAATTCATGACGTGCGCAATCGACTAATAGGAGTCTAACTTCTGAACTTTGGTTTTTCTGGTTATCTTCTTTACCGTTGTGTGGATATGTTGACCGAATAGAGGCGTTGTTCAACTGTTCCCAAAGGGCGAAAGCAGGTAATACATCGTCATGTATAACATGCATGAGGTTATTTGGAAGATAACGCTGTAGCAAAATGGCTTGGTCGAGCTGGACTAGCCGATGTGACGACTCTACGATCTGATGGAAGATCTCATCGGATAATGGTATCACATCAATAGGCAAGCCGTTATGGTCCGCTGTCGACGCGGAGAGATTCTTGATGGGCCAAGACCCGTAAACCCACGACGAGCTCGAGTCCTCTGTCCTGACATCGCTAGGATGTTTTAATTTAAACAACAAACCTTGTCGGTGCCAGCATACATCACGGAAGATACAGTGTTCTATATTATGACCTTGACGATCGCTTAAATGGATGCCTTCACCACGCTTTTGATGGTCAGCAGCATCGATATTCAAACGTGGACCATTAGGCCCGTACATGCAAGATGCCGAGGACGTCTCCCCGAAATGGGGGTCCATTCCATTAAGAAGGATTAGAGTTAATATGAGCTGCGTCAACATGATGATCCTTATTAGCGAAACGGCATAGACAGTTTTACTGAATAACGGATATCGCGTTTACTAGCAACGGGAAGCTCGAATATCATGTAACATGATATTTAAAAGTGAGCGTTCGACAGACACCGGCGACTGTAATTTCAATATTCGTTGACAATTCCATAGCTCACATAAGACCCGATGAGGTCTTGGTCACCTGAAAATAATATATATATATATGTCAAATTAGCTATCAGTCCATATCTGAACTTTTTTGTCAACGAATTAATACACGACGAACGGTAAACCATCTATTCACATCAATGCCAATACCGCGATAATTTTAACAATTTAATAAAAGTATTAACAATTACGCTTTTACCCAATTGGCACTATACTGAATCAGGGAACACCAAAATAAACCAGCAATAAATTAACAACAACCCTTGTCTTGTTGCAATTGACGCGTAGGATAAGATGCAAAATGTTCGCCCCCGATGACCGTCCCTGTTTCATACAACAAATTTAAGATGATTATCGAGTACGCTGAAAGCCAGTATGCTGCAGGCACACTGTAACGTAAAAAATACGTATTTTTCCTAAACGTTAAATTTTTCTGAACGCGATAGCCTTACATGTATCGGAGATGACTAGTTAAATGTACGAAACAGCTCTAATTAATCTAGCCCATGACATTTAAGTTATATGGGGCAAGTAGAAGGAAAAATAGTAGTTTTTTTAGCGTTTATAATTCTAGCCTCATTTTTTCACGCTTTAGGCTTGTCCTTCGATGATCTTCGCTTTTACTGTGCACTTGGGGAGTTGGTAAATTGTCACGTATCTAAATACTGATTATGCTAAATATGTTAAACACAGTGAACTGCATCCAATGTGTTCCATTAGACATACTGTATTTCGAATAATTATTTGTATTTTTCTATGATTCGAGTAGTTGCTGCCATCTAAGTGGGATATTACGGATTCTGATATGTCAAAAAACGGATCCACAAAACCTACCTCATTATATTGAAAATCTAATTAATTTCCTGTAGCCTTCTTTAACGCTACGATGTAAACGATGTGTGCCATGTACAGCTTCGACTTTCGCACAGTTCGATTTTCTTTACAAAACTTAAATTTGGCTCTCACGAGGGCTGTTTAAAGATGTTTTCAACAGCCACACACAGAAATATGTTTGTACACATATTGTGCCGAAAAATTGTGGAATACAAAAATACTCTGGATTATAAATATTTTGTTCATAATGTAATAATAACAAAGATAATAATAAAAAATTTTGTTCACACTACTGTAATTTTAGTCTCACCGTCCGAACAGCTCGAGGCAGAGCTGCCAGTTGTGCAGAACTTCATGTTATTGTTTACGTACAGGCGCGGATTCCGTCATCCCATGAACTCCATCGTCTGCTCTAGCTCCGAATGGCGCCACATCACGCGCATAAACATAGATTGAGTTTACACGAATGGGTACACGAAATTAAAAAAAAACCTTACTCTTTGATTCATGCAGGAATCATAAAGAGGCTAAGGATCAGTAAATGTGCAAGAACTATTTTTTTAGTTCGTTATAGTAGTTCTATTTCTCTGGGGCCAAAGAACTATGTTCAGGAGTCAAGTATATATCTTGTATATTAGAAAACATCTTATATTTTGTACAAACCTAAAAAAGTAAACCTTATATCAACACATATGAAGTGTCTAGAAATCCATTTTTCTGCAGTTTTTCGATTGTAGGCTGTGAAAAAAATATATATGTACAGTTTCTATTCAGAGATTCTGTATTTTCTGGTCTCCACAGTTCGTATTAAATGTATCCAAGTTTCTTCTAGACGAACTCCTCCAGTCGAGTTGAAACACGCCTTGACCTTCCACACATGTCATAAATTGAAACGTTTCTATGTTTATCTTATATTGCATTCTAGATTCTTCCAGTCCAGTAAATCATTGTTTTTTCACATATTTGACGTAATAACAAGGGGGTAGCAGTGTGGGCCGTTGATCGTGAGCCTACTGCGAAACAACGGAACGTTAAACCACTTTCATATATTAGTACTTTGACTGAACGCTACAGGTCGGGGTAGGCTTTGAGGGAAATTATTTAGAGAACAGCCTGCTAATGTAATGAGCCATGTGGCCACCAATGAACGATCACTACCCAACGCAATCAAATAGTGCGGTTTAGCAGTTAACCCCGGCTTGTCTAAACCAACATGTATTAAGGTCTGATAGTGCTTATCACACGTTTGATTAAAATTATGTTTATAATACGAGCGTATCACGTATTTACTTCTGAATTATTCCATTTTTACGTACATACTCTGAAAAATAATTTTAATCTTTAAAGGTGATTCACTTCACGGTAACTTTTAACCAAGTTAATTATTAATAATTATTATTATTAATAATAATTAAAAAATGTAACCATTTTTTAATTTCGTTTACAATACGTTAAGCCAAGTTTGGATGAATTTTGCATGTTTGTCACTCTTTCATATTCGATTGAAAAAGTTCGCCTTTTAGATCCACAACGCATGTCGCAATGCCTGATCCTAAATTTGTAAGATCATACCCTGAAATCTAACTTTATCTAAGTCACGCAGACAATCAGCAAAAACCTACCTAAAAAGCAGTGTTGAAATTCTAACTAGATTTTGCTTAACCTTTTTTTTAACAGGGAACAACTTTCGAAAATGTTGTAAAGTTTATTGAATTTAGGAGCTTGAGTTAATTTAAAATTGTTCTAGGTCCTTGCTGTTTCCCTGGAAGCTCTACACAGCGCTACATAAAGTTGCTTAATGGGTAGCAGCGTAAAGCCAGAGTTGCTTGCAATCTCATGAATGTCACATATCACTCGACTGCTGTACAAAGCCGTACAGACGATCAACGGTTGTTGATGACTCACTTCTTGGATTTGCTCCATACTGGAATTATCTGTCGATTACTTTTCTATTTGAAATAGCAATACGACAACTAGTACAGTATGCCAACTGGGTTAAGTTAAGGCGCATTTACAAAGTGTCGGGTATTATCCATTGGATAAGTGTCTACAGCGCACTATTGGGAATGTCTTCAAAGATTACAGTACGAAACTTTGCAGCCTACGATATACAAAAATACTGCTTTGAGTTTGAACACCTTATTCTTCGTAAAACGGGTTTTTTTTCACTCCGACTTCTCTATTCCAGTAGAAGTATTATTTGCCAGGCTCTTCTATTTTACCATTCTCAATCTTCAATTGTTTCGGCTGTTCTTCTGGCCTTGATTTTTCGACGTCAACTCTACTGGCTTCTATAAGTCGTCCCTTGTTTTGCTCATCGCTTTTTCGGCCATTGGAGTCTTTATGTCCTCCGTCGCCGTTAAACTTTTTCCCGTACTCTTCTGCTAGTATAACATCATCATAGTCGTCATCACCGTTTAGGTACATTCCTACGTAACGTGACTGCATACAGCGCTGCGCACTTCCGGTGTTTACCTGTAATCGGCGACGGTGATCGGCTAAGCACATCTTCAATAAAGCCAACAGTCCAATCCGAACAGATTCGTTAATATCATCGACTTCCTTCAATCCTCCGGCCAAGGCCCGATGAGTCTTGCGAGCCCTTTGAAAAATTAAGATAACCTCACGATTAGCTTTCTTCTCTTCTATTTATTGCACCCTTAAACTTTTTTAGTGGCCTAGTATTATGTATGTTTGGAAACTGGATATTATAACTCGTTACATTCCAAATGAATGAATTCGCGTTGTTAAAATATACTACGATCTGACTATTGACAGATATGGAAAAAGCATTCAAGGTTACGCTTAGTATTCCAAGAGCTGTATAATACCAAAAAAAGTTCGAAACTTGGAACTACATAGGGCCGTTTGTAATTATGACGCGATGAACTTGTAGCTTCTTCGTTACCGTTAAGGTTGCACTTACCTGTGGTGTAGAACCTTTCCTGCAAGATCGCTCTCAGGATGTGGAATTGTAGGCTTATTGGGCCTCATGGCACACACTTCGCAGGAGTGTATTAAGCCCCTTGAACTTGTTACGTACATCGGCCGCTTAGGTAGGCTATGTCCGTGGACCCACCTGGACAAGATGTGTATGTACGCATCCGACACCTGGCTAGGAAGTATTATATTTTTCGCCGGAAGAACTTCAAGATACGTTTTGAACAGTATGGAGATCATGGCATAACTTGTCGCCATTCCATATGCCGGAATCGCTGTCCCCTTGTCGGAAACACTCTCCTCAAATACGGGCAGCTCGTCACGATCCTGTTTTACCCGTTGGTTTGTCACCGAAAGGCTTAATTAAGAGGGACCCGGGCTAATATCAAAGGGGCCTATATCAAGTTCCTACCCCAACGTAAAATATCGTATCTAAAGGAAAATACATTACCTTCTGCCTATGAAGACAAGACTTATTTGCAGGAAGTTTTTATTTACAGAATGTTCAGTCTGAATTCAGTTTAGACCAGTGAACTATAGTTTTTTTGCATCACCGACAAACCAACCTACGTGTCTCAAAATCCTACCCATCAACCGTGAGCAACTTGTTATTGTCCAACTCACCAAGGAGTACAAATTCTACTCTTTCTCGCTATTTCTTAGTATTGCCAACCAAAAGCCGACAAAACTACCCAACCTATTAAACACTAGGATACCAATAGACCAGCCTTGCTTGGCAAATCGTAATCAGAGAGAGTGTTAACAAAAGCTGAAAAGGGCTGTTATTTAGGCATATTTTGGTGCAACGTACGCTTCGGATTATATTTGTCCTGGAGCAATTGATGCTTATAACTGGAACTTATGTTCCATTGAAACGTCTAGTCTACAACTTGGCTACGAGTGTATGTATATGATATTGGTATACCTGGGCGACTGGAGATCGGGGCTCAGCGAGTTCCAGAATTACGATAGCGTGAGTGAGTATAGACACAATATTTTTCGACGTGGAGCTGGAAACGGGCGGTACCGGCGTCGAAGCATAGGTGACGGCGGCAGCTGTTGACGAAACTGTTCGGGCCACGGCATTTGCGACGTCTGCCAATGTTCGAGCAGCTGCCACCTGACTAGCGCCCGAGCCAGCCCGAGCTGTTTCAGCTGCTACATTCATCATTGAATCAGTAGAAACTTCGTGTCGAATTCGCTCCATCAAGCATGCCGCTAGTTGTGCATGGGATACTGTCGACAATGCTTTAAACAAGGACTCCATACTTTGGGAGGTCAAGAACGAAGTGGACAGAAAGCTTTATCCTTCTGTGCATTTGAATAAGTATAGCCATTAATACACTATACGGCATAATATATAAAAGTATTTTCCAACGATATTTGTATAGCTGTTTATGAGTATCGTTACACTTTTTACATTTAACGAAAGCTTTTTAAGAAATAGCTCGTAGTAAATTCGCTCAGCGTCGTAACTACACAAAGCCAACTTTCGTCTAATAATTACTAACCCTGGAAAGTGGTCCGGTTCATTCATTCCAGGTAATCCTCGCATAAATTCGCGTTCGAAGAGCTCCTGGTGTTCCGGGCTGAGTTCTGGCATTGCTGTTTCCACGCGATCTCCGCTGCATAATCGACAAAACATATGCATGGCTGTTTTGCAATGGGGATGACTAACGTGTTTATTGTGGGGATTGTTGCAGAAGGGCCCTCCAGGATTATATGCCATTAATCTACCGCAACCTCCACATGGCTCCTTCCATAGTGGGCTCTTAGTGGCAGATCTTCGAAAACTCGCAGCAATTTTTTGTTCGACGATTGCTGATGAAGCAGTCGGTAGGCTCGCATCGCTCATTGTTGTCTATCAGAAATGGTACAATTTTCAAAAATAAGAAAAATGTCACACGACATTCTCATTCTATCACTACATTTCAAAATCGAGAATAAATAAAGCGTTGCGAATGGGGGATATTTTAAACGTAAATTGCTCTGAATACGCTACTGATTTGCAGTACTATTTTATAGCATATGGGTAACGACAGAAATCCTCATTAGCGCGGCGAGAAGCGTCTCATATGGGACTTGCTATTCATAAGTTAATGGCACGTGTGTGCACATTAGCTAACTATAAATGCGTCATCAAAAATGTCAGTATATGTTGCAATATAGAAAACACCACAATTTTTTATTCCAGCATCCTTATATGGCCTTCGCGGATGCGAAGCGTGTTTAGGTTAACTTAAGTGTGGTTATGGGCCAAAAACGTTTTTCTTGTGCGTATTGAGTTCGTAAACGACCAGGCTTCGTGTTAAAATTACAAGTACATGCCGAAACATTAGCATACCTGCTCGTTCAACCACTAGGCTGTGATTTTGCTGGGGTCAGCCTTGACAATCTTTGTCTTCCGCTGATCTCGTTATTATCACGTAATGTCAATTGATATATAGTCTATCTATGCTGATTGTCCCGCCAAACTAGCTGTGAAAAATCGTCGAAATTATTAGTAGGTGTTTGTGTTTGTGCAATTGGCATTGCTCCAGGGATTGTGTCTTTACGACAAGTGTAGCCATCGTATACAGAAATAGACTAAGAAGAGAACATGTGGTACTGTGCGTACGTGGCCATACCAATTAACGGTGTAAACAAGTAACAATATATATGGACGATGACTGATGCGGACACATCTAATTTTGAAAATAAACATGCGAGCGTTAACTGTTGCAACTAAATTTTATTCCTGGCTCTGCTCAAATAAGGCCCAAAATCACAATTATAGTCAACTAAACAATCGAATGTGCCGCATGAAATTGCTACGGTTTCAAACAGCGTTAGTTACCTGTACTGTCCTGCGTACATGACGATTAAGCCACTGTGTTCTTTGGCTATCCATATGTCTTTTTAGGTCACTGGTCTCGTTCGAGAGCAGCTCCTCATCAAGCGAAATCTCCTTGACAATGCGTGGCCTCTTGTCGGCAGTTCGTTTGCTTTGCGATGTCGGAGAATGACTATGGAGATAATTGTGGCCTTTATTCCGAGCTTTTCTTAACCGGGTCGTCAAACTACTGTACCTTTTTGCATGGATCGGCGAAAGGCGAACGCCCATGTTTTTGCCAAAAATTTGACCTTATTTTCGAGCTAAGGCCACACACTTTGATAATTGTACTGAACAGCCTGCACATCGGCGCACATGTATTTTTCACACAAATCAAAGGAACTTTGCTGACTGCTAAGCACTTCCCGTTAAACGCAATTTTTATATTTTGCTGATAAGCTGGCAGTAAATCTTTGGCTAATTTATGACTCGGCGGGTCTGGCCTGGCTTGTGGCCGACATTATGACGCATGCGTACGTGGACGACGACTCAAGTGAATGTCGAAACCATGGACAGTGGGTCGTAAGCTATCTAAATGTTACCTATAGTACTGGGACACTAAGCAAATTCTTCGCAACAGTAAAGTAGCAGATCGTATGATATTTATGTGTCATTGAAATTCTCGTGCTCAACTTTGACCTCTTTCAACCGTAGCGTTTCAACTAGTTCAAAGTACTGATTCGTTAGGACTACCCCTGAGAATTTTCCTAGAAGCATCATACTGGCCACCGCTAAGTGGAATTCATGCAGTCCGTAGTAGTTGGCTATTTGCTCCGTTCAAGCATCGTTTAGTTAGGGTTTGCCATGGCTGAGTTCATTTTGTGCAAATGCCTTTGTGGCTTACTGTGACTTTCATTGAAGTAATTTCCTCGAGAAAGAATGTGCAGTAGTTACCGTGAAAAAAAGACCTTGAGAGTGCTGGATTTCTACAGCATAACTAATTATATATAATCAGTTATATCCTCAGGGACTGTGCTGTGTAATGAAATCGTGCTCTTGGCGATACTGCTTACCTGCGAATGATCTTTCTGCTAGATAACGACTGCTGTGAGCGGAACGCCAATATATGTGGTCACCTATGTCATTGTGAAACCAAACTCACGACTGCTCAGAACGCTGAATGTAGATCGGAAGTATTGCGGGTTCCCAAAATAGAACGGTTTGTTCGATTAAAAAGATTGTTGTATAATATCGGATGTTTGCACCTGGCGATCAATTATATTAATGCATATTATAGTCGCGACACACTAAATCAGGTACTTGAAAATTGCCTTAGACAAGGATATAATAGACAAATCTATATATAAACAAAAATGTTTGAGCTGAATAAAAATAAGGCCTATTACTGATTTCTTTAAATCTACTGTTATATCAGTAACAGAATTAGTTGTAATGTAATATTAAGGTAAAAAGCGTTCGAAGGAAATCGTAAGCGAATGCTACAGATTCCGATTTGGACTATGTTTCGGTTTTATTGCCAGACTCTTGGTTTTCTCGCCGCCCTTCGAGAGATTTTTCTTCTTAGAACATTTACTGTTTTTGCTTGTTACCTAAAATTACCATCGATACCACCAAGCCGATAACACCATCAATATACTGACATGATTGATGCTAGGATATTAACGTATTGATATATTCAGGCTGCAGGTCGTTTGCGAGTTGGTTGTCGACAGAGAACCTTAATTAGTTAGACAGTAACCTCAGCGTATCGCTATAAGTGTCGCCGACTTTGAAATGTGGCCTGTAAATGTGAAGTTCGTCATGTCGACCATATGACAATAGGTTCTATAATTTGTATACTACTCCTTTCGCATCCCGGGAATAACCTACACACGTGACACCCTGACGTAGCTTATTCCAGACGTAGTTTTTTCTTCCTGCTAGTTTTTAACTTGAAACATGCGTTTATCACTTCATTTGAGGTCATGAAGTACCAACTGTTTTCTTACCGAACTTGGGGATCATTTATTTACAGCAACGCTAAACGCGAGGCTGAACTATGTCGGCTATTTCGACGCGGGAGAAGAACTGCGAACTCTACGATTTATCATTCTTTTAATACAACGTTGTCCCTAGATCCCTTTCTCATAGATATATATAGAAATCTATATAATTTAAATCAAATCCACAATTACGCTGTCCTTGGCGCTTCATAATTGGCAGATAGTATCATAATTGTCTTGCTCCTCAAAACTATACATAGTTGCAAAACTGCTTCGTAAAAACGTTCCTGACGTAAGCCCAGTTAGCGGCGCATTGAGCTTCTATTACACTAAAAATAAATACAGCTAGATGAAAATTACGGTAATCTGGGAGTGGTATGGTCGCACCTCTTCCAACTTGCAATTGAGATGTTAATGTGCTATTGACATGTGCAACTGTTTTCGTCTACGGGAACAAGGTTTTATGCATCGCTGCATATAAAACGGATGTACCTCAACAAAACGAAATTGATCTGAAAATGCGTAACTGATTCGTGTAGCGGTTTCCCCTCAAACGTAAACTATTCATCATCGCCTGTAATCGATTTTTCTTTAAAATCTTACTCAATAATTATCTTGAATTAATCTACATTTACGCACGTAATGAGGAAAATATACGTATTTTTGTAAAAATATGTATAATTAACATAACTGAAAGATTTTTTTGTTTCTGTCCTCACGTCGCATTACCGACATCCTCAAATAAAGTATCATGTACATGAAGAAATAACTTTATTAATTGCTCTGCAAATACCGTTACGTAACATTTTTAATCAACTCCTGAAAAGTAGCAAAAGTGTACAGGCCATGATAAAAATCTAAATTTCTTAATAATTACATTTTGTTACAAAGCATTCTGTAAGAAAATGAGATGTGTGAAATGGCGGACGTGACCGTCCCACAAGAAATTTCACATTCAAATAAAGACAGCGACATGCATTACAACACGGACGATTAAACTGACAATTGTCCATAGTTCAAGTCGCAAGCAAATACCGAATAAGGTAGCACCACCAGAGTAAGGAAGAATCAGTTTTAGGAAAACTTTAACCTTTACGAAATCTGAACTAGTTTCAGAAGAGGAACTTTGTTCTTGGTTCTTTCTTTTTGTTAGGTTCTCTAGAAGCAATAATAATGGAACTCTTTTGTTAAATAATCAGGATTGTTTTTCGTAATTTTCAGGTAATTTTTTGAAGAGGTTAACTTGGAAATGCCTCGTGGAAGAACCTCACCTAAGGGATTATCTGAGGAATGCTTTAAGAAACCTATCAGAACAACTGTGTATCAGAAATATATAGCTTTACTACACAGACCCTATGGAAATTAACGCAGCTATTAAATTTCTGGGTTACATATCAGCAGGTCTATTTTTATTCAGATTTTTACTTTATTTTGGGTATTTCGCCATTGAAAGCAGAAAGTGTTTCAGTCATTTCACTATAATAAAGTGCGAAACGCTGGAAGTTATCTGATCAAAGCTATCGATCCAATTTGCTTGATAAGCATCAAAGAAATCGAAAGGCAATATCGAACATTGCCTCTTCATTTTCCGTCTGGACTTTTAATTATATTTGAAATAGTGTATAAACAGCAAAAGATAACACTTAGCCGTTGGAGATCATTTGGAGAAATACAGCTGCTCGGATAGTTAACTTCAAATTTTTGCTAGTATCTATCCAGTAGTATGTTGTAATCTGAGGGTCTTAACTTCTGGTTAGCTTGTTATTTGAATCAGTTCGGAAATATTCAGGACCTTCATTGATTCGTCGCGACATGTCTTCGCTACAGCTAGATGCTTAATCTTGTAAGTTTCGCGTTTGCCACAAATAACCTTTCGTCTAGTCGTCGAGTGTGTACGGGATAAAGCTCCCTTATCGAGAAGATCCCGTATCCAATCCTTTCTGCTTCGTTCCGGAGTGCAACATACATCTCATTTCAAAACAATGCTTCGGTTAATCTTGTTATTAGAACTAGCCCCAGATCAGCCACTCTTGATGATTCATTCTGTAATTCCCTGGAACTCGACTAACCTCGTAATCCGGTCTCCCGTGATCGTTTTCCAGTTAGGTAGGCGATCGTGTGTTAATGTTTATTAACATTAATGCACGATCGCGACATAGTTTCGAGAAACACATACAAGTACAATACATGTACAAGCCTACACTTCTTTAATTACTGTTGCCGCAGGATTTCCTATCAAAAGCTGGGCACATTTTATCTTTTTAGGTTTCGTAAGTGCAAACGGATATGGATTACGTCTTAGTTGAGTAAGCCGCGAGGTAGGCCATGTCATAAGACTTCGATTCTGCCCAGATCGTGCACTCTTTTTTTGCATTTGTTGAACACCTACCGAAAATTTAGCTTGATCCGCCTGACGAAGTCCATAAAGCAGGTCCAAAATCAATTTTGTCTTCATATTCATCCGCTATTGAGGTTCAAACCAACTGATTGGCTGTAAACGGCCCTAATACAACAATTAAGAAAAGCTGTAAAAAGAGATGCATGCATTAACTGGACCTTTATTATAATTAATGTGAAGCGAAAAACAATCTAATTGGATGCAGACAGATAAACGCATACGTCGACAATTCAGTCAAACTGTTTCTTTTGTATTGTAAATTGATGTATAGAACTTATCCTTGTTTAACCTCGCCATTTGGTCCCACACTCGCTCTTCGGAGGCACTGCACAAAATCGGACTGAAGTTACATTAACACCATTTGCTTATAAGGGGGGAACAATCATTATTTACAACTGATTTATATAGCTTAGGTAGTTCAGCGGCATCTCTATGCAAAAATACTATATACCTATCTCGTCGACAGCCGACCCGGAAAAAATAAAATTCGCTTAAGGATACTCAAAATCGCCAAGCTCGATTATATCTTCATACATTTTTGGGCGGGTACAAATGATTCCTCCTTGCTGTCAGCCATATTCAACTACGGCATCCACTTCTTCAGCGGCTTCTTGTCGGATCGGTAGCCGTGAGGTAATTTGTCTATTTCACATTTATCCATGGTCGTACCTAATCGTTTCGTAGTTCTGTTTTAGTATAAATCTTAGAAATATATTGATATATCATTAGTAATATAATATTTTTTTCCAGCATAATTATATTACACTGGAAAAAACATTTGTCGTTGTAATA